TCACGCTGCATCTCGTGATATACTTTATTTTTTCAAAATAGTTTAATAGATGATGCAAAAATTAAATGCAGTATTTAACTTTATTTCGGCGCTGGGAGAGTTTAAACGGCGATTTTTATTTGGAAATCTCTGTCGTTTGTCTGATAAGTTCAAAGTAAGCTCTTAAACAGAAGCTCTTCTACTGTTATAATATATCTTTTACCTTACTTAGGTTCAATTATCGTGGCATTTTTCCGCAACAGCCCACGGCAAGGGTGTCGTCGACGGCATCGGGAGGACAATTAAACGTTTGGTTTATTTAGCAATATTAAGTGGACAAAGTTGTGATTTAGCAGCTGATTTCGTTCGTATTGGTCAAACAAAAACAACAGCGATTGAACTCATTGAAATGGAACAATATCGAATCAATCATTCGAAAGCACAATTGGAAGGTTTTTTCAGTCACTTAAATCAGTACCAGAAACAAAGAAAATACATTCTGTCAAAGCACTAGCCAATAATTCAATCGAATGTAAACATTATTATAATAGTAATAATTTGAAAACGTATCGCTTTTCTATTTGAACAGTTCATAAATTTTATTTTTTCTCTAGCCAAGCATTTTTTGTCCCATATTTATGATTGTACTAAATGAAACTGGTGCTTTTTCCTGGTTTTTCATATATTTAGGCAGAAAAATAGGTTATGCTACTTAGTAAACATAGTTTTTCATAATAATCCTCGCGTAGATTAGGCTATATTTATAACTATTTTGTAGGGGAATTGTCAATAACTGAGACATATGAATACTGAATAGTTGCCCTTAGAGATTAAAACCATATACTACTAATACTGTTAAGAACGTATAACTGATAAATTTTTAAAAAACTTGGTCTAAAAATTAGCATAATCGCGTAACGAAATCGTCATCGCGTTACATTCATAAAATCGAACATTAACTAGAACAGAGTGTGCCTTCCGGAAACCAGTTCTAGTTATGAACATTTCAAGGTGTGAGCTACAAAACATCAAGCACACATCCCTTTCGATATATGGTAGATTCATAGAAAAATAATCTAGAAGTGTCACACCATCAGAATTTTGCCCATTTTTCACCATCGTGTTTCAGCATGTATTTCATTCATAACTTTCGATTGGTGTATTGACACGAGCTGTTTTTTTCCATGAACGATAGATAATTATGTGGTACATATTCTGGCGAAAAAAGAAATTTCTCAAAGACACTAGTCTATGAAAAAAGACGCGTACACTCTGGCTAAAACCTCCTTGCGTTACGCGCGTTTAAGCCGATATATGTTTATTAGTGGGTAGGGATGTTGAATGAAATGTAAACATTATAGGAGCTGGGAAAAGCCGTTCCCGGGATCCTATAAATTTCTAGTGAGTTGCAATGATTTCTGGTGAATTTCAGAGAGCACTGCGTGATTCGTATATAAATATATTTGAACTTGTCCCAATTTTTTAACAACTGCAAAACCCTATCATTGCGCTCGGAAAGCCACTTAAAGCAAACGAATGAAAGGTAGATCGTAAGTTGTTGATCTCATGACAGATATTGAAGTAATATCATCAGTGCTTGTTAAGCTATATTATACGTTATGGTAGTTGTTTAAAAGCAGTAGTGTGAAATGCAAAATTTGAGTTCACATATTTAATACACATACAACAGGCTTTCAACAGTTCATTACGTCATGACACTATCCTGTAAATCAGACCCTCGAAAGCACTCATTCAGTGATATTCCTACTCATCATCCGAAGCATTCTCAACAGAATAATCAAATATTTGATTATCTGTAATGGAAAGATGAATGATTGACTATTTGAATTCAACCTTCATCTGTTACATTCATAGTGAAAACTAGCTGTTGTTTCTTGAAAGTTACGCTGAATTATCGACCGTGAATTTATCCTTTTTCAATTCGGCAACGGGTTTCAAAAAAATTCATTTAGACTAAAGGTAACTTTTGTTAAGATATTTGAAATAAAACTAGATTGGATCCAGTTTGGCAAACGAAACAGTCATTTTACTCTGTTCTGATAAAAAGTATGTTTTCACATATACAATAAAGAGAACTAAAAATAAGTTGTCTTCAAATTGAACAAAAACCTTCGAGTTATGCCTAGTGATTTAGCCAGGGTTTGACGAGTGGTTGGGCACCACGGTAAAGATTTTTTAAGAAACGTTTTTTTCCATAACATCCGATATTCTTCTGTTGTATAATAAACATACCATATACACTTGTGAGGTGTAAAAAGCGTCCAGTGCAGTCCGTAACAGGAATCAAAATATGAGACACGATCAATTTAGTGTGTTTGCGGTTACGGAGTTTCGTAGGCAGCCTATTTATCTGTCGACTACCTGTAAGAAGAACGAGATAAGTAAATATTCGGTGGGATGAAGCCTTTTCGATTCAATCTTAGACTGGGTCCCCTACGAAAAACCTGTATATCTGTGCATCTGTCATAGATATTTTTCGGAAACATGTTAAATGAGATATCACCTATATTATTACATACTAGTGTTAGCGTGTAAGCTGTTTTCACGTCCTTCTCCACCAATATCGTCTGCCTCTCCGTGACTCAGATAGTCATGAGCGAAACAAAAGATATGTGCCGGGATGTGGAATCGAACCACAGATCAACGCACTATCTGGGCGGCTGCTCTACCAACTGAGCTATCCAAGCACTTTTGCGTCGTTCCTCTAACAACTAGTAAAATTTTTCAATTGAAGTATGCCGTTCAAGTATACATTTTAATATTTTTCTAAATATGGTAGAGTATCGCAAGAGTGTCTCGATGCTTTCTTTCCAAAACCGGATTCTACATCCGTTTGAATTAGAATCGGAATCTAGCTGTCGATATTACCAAAGCATTGTTTTGAATCCTGATCTCAATAAAACTGAGATCAATCTGACAAAAAACAAGTAACGCAACGTGAGCGTTGCTATACCCTCTACTGAAAGGAGCTCTCATGGAATGAAGTTAAATAATTTTCTGGAAATGTCATGAATCACAATTGTTTTTTTTTTAATATACAGAGATATTCATTTTGATTGACATAATAATTACAAGTCGCAGTATTCTAAACCTAATCAATGTTTATTATCTTAAATAATGCATAGTTCGCTTATAAGTCATACCACACAAGTGGCATCAATATTTTACAGGAAATTCTTATCAGATGGTTACCTGATTTTTTTGTGTTACCTGGATTTTATCAAAGAAACCAGGTTGTATTTAACATGTACAACAGATATTGATATATTCTATACAATATTAGTTTCCTTGGTACGAGTGACAAAATTTTTCGATGAATATATATTTACCAACAGCTTATTCGTAATAGATAATATGACATTTATAGAAGATTAATAATAGTACTGAATTAGAAGCGTACTCGCTATTCACTTTCACGCATATTTCATAGATTAATTTATTATTCGCAATAGAAATCCGTATGTCAGAAAAGAGTCAATGTTTCAAACACATTGGTCCCTGTGAATAAAAATAAATCATATTCAGTATTCTCTTAAAATCCATCTCTCTTGTGATGCGTGCATGTGTCCCAAACTCTTCCTAGAAATAATTAGCCAGGATAATTTCATCAATATAGATTCTTCTGACCGTCCATTACATTAAAACTTTCATAAATATTTTGGATAATGATACATGTAACATTACAACTATTTCATATTTAAATAAACTGACTTGTGTGTGGGTAAAAAGGCACAATAGAATATATATATAATCATTTTTGCTAGATACTATCTAGTAAGACGAATGTTACTTTATTTGTTTCACTATTTTCACCGTTTAAAAGTAGTTTTCTCTCAAATATCGCAAAAAATAAGCACAATGCTTATTTCATTCTCATCTTATTTTGAATCAATATTGCAAATTTATCGACCGCTTATATTTGCCAAATACAATTTATTAAGATTCATCAACAGTTTAAAAAAGTTCTAGGCTGATATCAAAGATCACAAACAAAAACCGTAAGAAGTAAGCTAAAACTACATTTGTATTTGTTTATGAACATTAGTCTTCATAATTGTTTGTTAAAAGGTAAAGTTCAAAGTAAAAGTTTTAGTGTCACCCAATACTGACAGAGCGATATTTAGAACGCCCAATTGCGAAAAAACCATTCAACAGTTCGGTATGCTGAAGTCCATAGACCGTTTGATTTTTTGATACGACGCATTCGTAGTAGATGCGAAATAGTACAACAGCTATCAATCAAGGTGAAATAATATACGCGTATATATAGCATTTAGAGAAAGCTTTTTCTTCATACCATCTTCATTTGTCAATGGAATTTCAATTTCGTTTTCTTCGTTTAATTGAGCGACAGTCAAAAAGATAATCGAGCGAAATAATTGATTCTTTGTACATTCTGCTACACGAAGCAATATCTACAATCATAAACAAAGATGAACGAAGAAGTCCTTTAATATATATGCAAACCGAGCAACAACTGTCACGGATTAAATGATATCTCATTTCCTGGATTTGAGTAATTGTATGAAATATTCTTAAAATAATTTCAAATATGCCTACGATTGACTACATTAATAAAAGCAGATTTTGTAATTCAAAAACCATTGAAGATTATTACATGAGTCGTATTCGGGTAATTTGAGTGTAACATTTCGGCTATGTACGGAGTAAGTATAGGTATTATGCCGGCGATGACAGCATTTTAAAGAATTAATATGACCAGATAATTATGCAGGAACGGATATACATATCTATATATTATCATCAGTTAATACTTACATGACATATGCCAGGTGATAACTTCATATAACGGTACATATAAAATAGAGTATTGTATGTTATCTGCCACGCTTCTTGGCAGCATAACGCATACTTTAGGTTCTTATTTAGAACAATGATGCAAAGATCTGGAAAATTTTATTAATTCGACATGTAAACAGGCTACTTACTCGCATACTCCTTGTCAATAAGTTTCATTGTTATGAAAAATACCATAGAAGGTGAAATATGGGCTACGTCATACAGATTCCCAATGCATTCCATTGAATTATTCAGCTCATTTATATTTTTAGCGTCGTATATCAATGTGTGTTTCAGTTCATTTAAAGCATGCCCAAGCTAAATATATAATATATTTTAAACAAGTATTTCGTTTCGACGGTAGAGACCTTTTCAAAATGATTCTGATATTCTACAATGTCAGTTTTCGATCCTGAAAAATGCTAAACATAAGTCCAATATGATAATGAAGGCAGATCTTATAAAATATTCGAACTTGATTAGCAGCACAATCTGTGTTTTTGTATTCGGTCGTTCTGCATTTATTTCGTTCCATATGTTGTTCTTCAGATGTATCTTCATCGGTTCGATGGTGCGGTATATGATATCGACCAATGATTAATATGCAGAAAAGTATCACACAAAACGATACTAATTGTATTGCAATCACTTCAACACGATATTTTTTTATAGTAAAAATAACGGTTGTCTCCAGCATGTTGGTGACATTGAAAGTCACACCATTGAGCACAAATGCCGAGTTACCATTTCCAACTATATCAACGTTTACCCGATTTTTACATTTGGAATAACTATCACCCATTGATACGATACTCGATGTAAGTCCGAGTAATAAAATCGCAGATTGCAATACAAATGGTTCAAAAACCTGTACTATCTGGAAGCACAAACTAAAGATATTGTACATATTTAAAATAATTGTTTGAATGAGATAAAGAATTAATACGAAGAAAATCGTCCAATTGCATACTTCCTACTCAACTTGAAATCATGGACACGGCAAATTCAGTATATTCTCTCATTCTTAAATTGGCTAAAAATGCTCAAAGAAAATATTTTGAGTATGCATATTTAGTACGCATTTTACGCTAACAGGAAAGTTTTAATGAAACAAATTTCAATTACATTGGTACAACTACGCATCTAAATCAACCGAATTCGTATTAAGGAAAAAAGCAAACGAGTAAAGTTTCAATTGAAACCAACTTCAGATATTTTTATCGAGAGCAATCCCCTTCCTGCTATTCGATTTGTTGACTTTTTCTGACGACGATCCATGCTATCTAAAAGAAATTAGACAAGAATAATTAGCTAGAGAATTTTTAAATCAATAGCAGTAGGTCTTTCTATAATACATACTTCTCTATTTAGTAGTGGTTGTCCAACAGATTGTTTAAAACTATCAGTTGATTCAATATTTTTTTCATTCTACGTACATTTTGTTAAACATCTCAGTGATAATGGTAA